GTCAGAGAGAGAGAGAGAGAGCAAGCACAGGCAGACAGAGTGGCAGGCAGAGGCAGAGGGAGAAGCAGGCTCCCTGCCGAGCAAGGAGCCTGATGCGGGACTCGATCCCAGGACGCTGGGATCATGACCTGAGCCGAAGGCAGCTGCTTAACCAACTGAGCCACCCAGACGTCCCTTCTTCTACCTTTTAGAAAGATGAAAGCTGATTCTAAAATTTATTAGGAAAGGCAAACTGCCTAAAAGTTAAAGACAGTCTTGGAGAAAGAATAAATCTGCAGGAGTTACACCATTAGATTTCATGATCTATCACAAAGCTATAGCAATTAAGAAAATATTGGCATAGTCACTATCAAGATAATATGAAGGTTCCTCTGAAAATTAAGAATAGAAAATATCATATGATCCAGTAATTTCACCTCTGGATATTTACCCAGAGGAAACAAAACAGAACTTCAAAAAGATATGCACAGTCTTTTGTTCATTGCTACATTATTTACAGTAGCTGAGATAAAGAAGCAGTCCAAGTATTCCTTGATAGATGAATGGATAAAAACATACATATTGGAATAAAAAAGAAGGAACTCTTGCCATTTGTGACAACATGGACAGACATAGAGGGCATTATGGAAAATGAAATAAATCAGAAAAATGCAAATACTATATGAATTCACTTATATATGGAGTATAGAAAACAAAACAAACAAACAAAAAACAGAAAAATACCCAAAAATGCTGAGAACAAACTGATGGTTGCCAGAGGGGAGGGGAATACAGTGAAGGGATAAATGGGTAAGGGGGAGTGAAAGATACAGACTTCCAGTTATGGAATGAGTGAGTTACAGGATAAAAGTCACAGCATAGGAAATATGGCCGATCGTATTTTAGTAGCATTGTATGGAGACGGATGGCAGCTACACTTGTGGTGAACATAACATAATGTATAAACATGTTGATTCACTATGTTGTGCGACTGAACCTAATGTAACATTATGTGTCAACTGCACTTCAATTAAAAAAAAAGGTAACATTTTCCAAAAATCAGACTAATTGATCAATGGAATTGAATGGTGACTTCAGAAACAGATCCACATGTACATTGTCACATAGCATGTGACAGATACATCGCTATTTTCCTAAAAAGAAAGTATTATCTTTTCAATAAATGGTATTAGGTAATTAATACACTATTTTGAGAAAAACAATAATCTTGACACATACTTAGGACCTATACAGGATCAATTCTACTTGGATTAAAGATTTAAATGTGAAAGGCAACAACATTTGAAAAGAGATCATAGTGGGACATCTTTGCAATAGAGAAATATGTACAGCATTTTAAACAGAACACACAAAACAATAGCTATCTAAGATTTAAAATGATTAATTGAATTTTATATGGAAATTCTGATCATCAATATTCATAATGTGAAAGGAAACTCTCATAGTGGGAGAGGATACCTTTTTTTTTTTTTTAATTTCTTTTCAGCATAACAGAATTCATTGTTTATGCACCACACCCAGTACTCCATGCCATATGTGCCCTCCATAATACCCACACATTGGGTATTATGGAGGGCACATATGGGTGGTGGGAGGTTGGCTCCCCCAACCTCCCACCCCCCGCACCTTCAAAACCCTCAGATTGTTTTTCAGAGTCCATAGTCTCTCATGGTTCACCTCCCCTTCCAATTTCCCTCAACTCCCTTTTCTCCATTTCCCATGTCCTCCTATTTGTTATGCTCCACAAATAAGTGAAATCATATGATAATTGACTCTCTCTGCTTGACTTATTTCACTCAGCATAATCTCTTCCAGTCCCGTCCATGTTGCTACAAAAGTTGGGTATTCATCCTTTCTGATGGAGGCATAATACTCCATAGTGTATATGGACCACATCTTCCTTATCCATTCGTCCATTGAAGGGCATCTTGGTTCTTTCCACAGTTTGGCGACTGTGGCCATTGGTGGTATGAACATTGGGGTACAGATGGCCCTTCTTTTCACTACATCTGTATCTTTGGGGTAAATACCCAGTAGTGCAATTGCAGGGTCATAGGGAAGCAGGAGAGGATACCTTTATCAGACCTATAGAATCAGACAGAGAGCTGAAAGGGACTCATGGGCAAAATATAAAAGTAACTGTTACAAATCCATAAATAGTTCACATGAAATACAATGCAAAGATGACAAAAGATATTAACAACCATGTTTCAAAAGAAAATATCTAAATGGCCATAAAATACATGAAAATATTCTCAATTTCATTCAGCATTAGAATAACACAAACTAAAACTATAATGATCCTCATACACATTATCTACAAAGGTGAGAAAGAAAATGATGGAAAATACTAAATCTTGACAAGGATACTGATTACTCAAAACTATTCTCACTGGTAGTAGGATTGCGCATTAATACAACCACTCTGTAAACTCATTAGGCACTATTTACTAATGCTGAATAGGTGTATCCACAACTCAATAATTTCAGTGTGAAGGATATACCCAATAGAAATAGATTCAAGATTAAGCCAATCTAGATTAAATATTTCTGTGGTTGTGAAGGATGTGGAATGATCCGCCTTTAATTACCATTTTGAAGGTTTATATCACTAGTCATAAGCCTGAAAATTCAAACTAATTCTAACATTTGATGATAGCACAATGAATAAATAATTTGTGGTATAGTCATAAAATGGCACTGTACATAGACATGAGAATGAGCAATCTAGAACTACCTATAATAGCATACTGCATGAAAGAAGTCAGACACAAAAAATACACACATATTATTTATTTATATAAGTTAACAAAAATGCATGAAAATAATTTATGCTGTTAGAAGGCAGAATAGTGGTTATCTGTGCATGTGTGTGTGTGAGTGTGTGTGTGTGTGTGTGTGTGTGTGTGTGTGATAGGAAAATGAAGGATTCTTCTGGGGAACTCTTTATGTCTTATTTTTGTTATTATGATAGCAGTTTAATCTGGTTTCTGATTATGTATTTGTGCTGGATTTGTAAAAATGCCTGATGTATGTATGCATCTTAATATGTATATTAGACTTCAATAAAAAGTTTAAAACACTACAAAAAAGGGGAAAACAGCTGCACCTATGTGTTATTATTACATGTAATTTTTTTAATGATTCAGAAAACATCACTCAAACATCTTTATTATGTCCCTGGACAGAAAAGTCCTCAAAAGCCACTTTATTAACAGGAGTCAATTAAGGGTTGGGAGAAAAAATGAAAATACCTTTCCTACACATACAATGTTTTGATTCCACATCTCTGGGTTGCAGTAGAAAGACTTAACCAGGAGATAGTGTGTGGAAAGGTACTTAACAGAATTTTATTTGTAGTGGAATATATGGATGCCCTGTATAATTAGCCAAGATATCACGACTTCCTTTGATGCTTTTGAATGCTTTAGACGCAATGAACTTGCATGTTTTCTCCTCAGGGACAGCGTCAATTTAAGAAAGACACCCATACCACCTTCTTCACCGGTTGTGTTAGGAATGGATGCGAGCACAGACAGTCCCCTTCAGAGGGGAGTGGACTACACGTGTCTCTGTGACTAACTCAGACCAGGGACCCTTCAGGACCTCATTAGTGTCTTATACCCCACCTCCTGCACTGATTTAGCTATCTCTTTAATATTCTCTTTGATAATCGAAGTTTCTGGGCAAACACAAGTTGTACACAACTTTCTTGTAATTTTTGGTGAAAGCTAGACATTTGCTATGATGCAGGAAGTTTGTACTCTCTGAATAGTTAAAAAAAAAAAAACTCTGAAAAGGGAGCTTTCTTAAGAAAATTTAAAACAAAGACCTGAAGATTGTCATGATTATTTTCTTTCATTTGGATCCTTAAGAAATTGTCAAAGATGATATCGTTATATGTAGTTATTTGGATGTTTCTCAGAATTCTTAAGGTCAAATAATAACATATTTCCATACTGATTTCCAGCTACTTATCAAGTAAAAGGATTATCTCAGTATGTTTATAATCCTTGCAATTTCTGGGGTGCCTGTGTGTGTCAGTGGGTTAAAGACTCTGCCTTCAGCTCAGGTCATGATCCCAGAGTCCTGGGATCGATCCCCACATCTGACTCTCTGTTCAGCGGGGAGCCTACTTCCCCCCTCTCTCTCTGCCTGCCTCTCTGCCTACTTGTGATCTCTGTCTGTCAAATAAATAAATAAAATCTTAAAAAAAAAATACTTGCAGTTTCTGTTTCCAGTATGTCATGTGTTTCCCAGATGTACCAATGAACTTTGTAAATCACTTTTAGTTGGAGGTGAGGCAAAAACAAACAATTACAGCCTTGCTATGTCTCCATCACAGCACAAAGTCTGATTAGTAAGAGGGCTGCCCTGCTTCCTTACCTACAAGCCTTGGAAGAGTTTCTGAAATGACATGAGATTGTCCCTTGAATGACTCAGTGCACATCTAATGGAGATCAGAACTCTAAGATTAAAAGATGTACAAATACAAATTTAGGTAAAAAGAATTCTTATAAGATTTTGAAGCAGTAATATTTATTTTGCCTAAAATTGAGGATTCTTTTCCACTTCTTTATTTAGTAGCTTTTTTTAGGGGTAGCTGTGTGGCTCAATCAGTTAAGCATCTGACTTCAACTCTGGTCATGATCTCAGTGTCCTGGGATTGAGCCAACATCAGGTTCCTAGTTCATGGGGAGTCTGCTTGACTCTTTCCCCGTGTCCTTTCCTCCCTCCACTGGTGCTCTCTCACTCAAATAAGTAAAATCTTAAAAAAAAAAAAAAGATTTTTCTAAAACTCCCTTTATTCCCCCTTGAAAATTACTTTGACATTTAAGTATGTGTATTTAATACATATTTTATAGATCTTTAATTGTAGAATATACTCATTGTCACTTAATTCAGTGTAGAAAGCTGTATTTGGCAGTGGGAGGGGCAGGACAGGGAAGTGGTTTAATTCTCTCACCTCTATACTTAGGTTAGATTTTCTTGAACACTTGGGGTTGCCAATGCCTTTGGGTACCTATCAAAGAATGGAATTACTGGATCATAATAATAATTGTATGCTAACTTATTGAGTAACCATCTACGTGCTTCCCCAGTGGTTGTGCCATCTTACTTTCCCAACAATATGCAAAGTTTCGAATCTCTACATCTTTGCCAGTCTCTGCAATTATTCTTGTCTTTCCTTTGTAAATCACTCTAAAACAAATGAAGTGGTATCTTATTGTGGTTTAGTTTTGCATTTTTTCTGATAACTGAAGACATTGAAAATTTTTCATGTGTGTATTGGCATTTGTAAATTTTCAGTGAGAAATGTCTGTTCAAGTCTTTTGCCTAATTTTAATTTGGGTAATTTTTCTTTGAGATGTTGAGCTGTTAGAGTCCATTGGATATTTTATCTACTAGGCCCTTAACAGATATAAGGTCTGCAATTTTTTTCCCATTATATGGGTCATCTTTTCATTCTTTAATAAATTCCTTTGATGCATAAAATTCATCATTTTACATTTTAATTTTTACATTTTTACATTTTAATAAAGTCCAATTTAGGAGTTTTTACTTTTGTTTTTTGTGCTTTTGGTGTCATACTCAAGAAAGCTATAGAGTCAGCTGAGCTGGGAGAGAGAGAATTGAACTTCCAGTTGTTTGAACAGGCAATTAAAGCTCAGACCAGGGGCACCTGGGTGGCTCAGTGGGTTAAGCCTCTGCCTTCGGCTCAGATCATGATCTCAGGGTCCTAGGATCAAGTCCCACATCGGGCTCTCTGCTCAGCAGGGAGCCTGCTTCCCCCTATTTTTCTGCCTGCCTCTCTGTCTACTTGTGATCTCTGTCTGTCAAATAAAAAAATAAATAAAATCTTTAAATTCTCCAGAAAATTCCAATGTATAACTGATTTAAAAAAAAAAAAAAAAAACAGAACAAAACAAAACTCAGACCATAAATGCAAGATGTCAGCCTTTAAACATTTATAACCATGTCAGTCATATGTCATGAAAGTTAACAATTATTTTTTTATTTACTCCCAGCGTAGGTTTCCCAAATGGCCTGCATAGAAGAACACAGTCTAACACTGTGGAAATAATTCATTCTAATGGGAATCACAGGACTCCCTAAGCTGCAGGCTCCATTGGTTGGACCCAATCTCAGTGCCTGGTCTCAGTGGTGGGTATCCTGAGCTTGATCATTCTCACCAAGATGGACTCTGTGCTACAAAAACCCATGTACTTCTTCCTCAAATTCCTGGCTTTTCACTCATACCTGGGTTATTCAACAACCGTGGCACCCAAAATGTTTAGTAAGTTATATTGAGGAAACAAATACAATCTCTTGTTCCTGCACCACATGGGAGCTTTCCACATTATTTATGTTCATTGTTTTGAGCTGTTCATTCTATCAGCTATCCTATAATCCCTGCCATGGACATCTATAACCCTCCACTCTACCCTGACATCATGGCACAAAGGATGTGTCAGGTGCTGTGGCACATTTGTTTCTCTTCTAGTCACCATAAACATTTTTAATTTATCCTTCTGTGGCTACAATATTGTAAGTCATTTCTACTGTGACAATCTCCCCTTGTTATCTTCATTCTGCTCAAATATGCATAAAATTGAATTGACGATTATGATTTTCTGTTTTAAATTTGATTTTACTGCTTCTGATAGTTCTTGCAGCTTACCTGCTGATCCCAGTAGCCATCATCAGGGTGAACTCAGCCTTTTATCTACACTGTGTCATTCATACACAAGTTGTTACTGGTTAACTATATATGAATGTACTGCTTAACAAAGTGTTATAATTTTTGCAGGTAATTAAATTATTGTATATTATAACCCAAATGTTTCTTTCTGAAAGTTCACTTAGAAATAGGATGGGTACATAGAATTCAATCTCTAAATATATGTTGCATATAAAAATTATTCATTATAATCACTTATTACTTAAATAATAATAAGTTAATTAATTTATTATCATTCATGTATTAATGAATAATACAGCACAGGCTTTTTCCACCTGTAGGTCCCACCTGACAGTAGTCACAGTGTTCTGTGGGACTTTGATATTTATGTATATGCAACCTGAGCCAAGTCATTACTTTGACACTGATAAAGTGGCATCCATACTTTGCACCATTGCTATGCCCCTGCTGAATGCCTTGATCTATAGCTGGAGGAACAAAGAGGTAAAATATGCAGGACAAAGATGTGGGAAAAAGTATGCAATATCTTCTCAATTGACTATACTATGTGGTTTCTGTGAATTCAGTTATCAACATTAAGCTTTGTTATATTCCTTGGGAGGGGAAAACAAAGATAATTGAAGTCAACATATATTTAGAGATGGACTTCTATGTACCAGTCATATTTCTAAATGAACTTGCAGAAAGAGACATTTGGGTTATAATATACATTAATTTAATTACCTACAAAATTATATCATTTTAAGAGGTACATTCATATATAGTAAACTAGTAACAACTTGCATCTGAATAACATGGTGTAGAGAAGATGTACATGTGGCAAAACAGGTAATGAGAAAGAATCAAAGGCCAGGAGTAGAAAGATGAAAGGATATAAAAAGAGATCCAATTTTATAAGAAAAGGCAGTTTATGGCAAAAAATAAAAAACAGGCTATTGTGACTATGTAAAGTCAATTTTATTCTGAAGTAATATTTATTATGAAAAACAAATAATTACATTATTATTATTTTCAGAGCATTTAAAATTAGAAGAATCCTTCAGTTAATTATTTTTTTAAGTTAGGTAATTTGCAAATAAATACAAACTAATAATGTGAGTACATCAAATTTGAAACTTCATAAAAGATGTTGTTGGAGTTAATGTAGAGCATGAAATCATCCATAATATCTGGCTAGCTAAAATGTTACATGGGGAACCCCTCAAACTCAGCACACACAAAACAGACAATCATATAAAAAAATGGGCAGAACATATGAACAGACACTTCTCCAATGAAGACATACAAATGGCTATCAGACACATGAAAAAATGTTCATCATCACTAGCCATCAGGGAGATTCAAATTAAACCCACATTGAGATACCACCTTACACCAGTTAGAATGGCCAAAATTAGCAAGACAGGAAACAACATGTGTTGGAGGGGATGTGGAGAAAGGGGAACCCTCTTACACTGTTGGTGGGAATGCAAGTTGGTGCAGCCACTTTGGAGAACAGTGTGGAGATTCCTCAAGAAATTAAAAATAGAGCTTCCCTATGACCCTGCCATTGCACTACTGGGTATTTACCCCAAAGATACAGATGTAGTGAAAAAAAGGGCCATCTGTATCCCAATGTTTATAGCAGCAATGGCCACATTCGCCAAACTGTGGAAAGAACCAGGATGCCCTTCAACGGATGAATGGATAAGGAAGATGTGGTCCATATACACTATGGAGTATTATGCCTCCATCAGAAAGGATGAATACCCAACTTTTGTAGCAACATGGACGGGACTGGAAGAGATTATGCTGAGTGAAATAAGTCAAGCAGAGAGAGTCAATTATCATATGGTTTCACTTATTTGTGGAGCATAACAAATAGCACGGAGGACAAGGA